CATTGGGCATGGCCTCAGCATAATCAATCTTTTCTTATGGCCGAAATATCCTAAAAGTCCAATCTCAATGAGCTTAGTATCGAGTATCAACCAATTTTCAGCTTTCCACCGAAACTGGCTATCTCACTACTTCCTAATGGCCAAGTTGTTCAATTAAAGGTTCTAAGATCAGTTAGTGTTTCATGACACCACACGGTGGCCCCATATTCTCCTTAATTCAACACAAAGGATATCGGTACCCACAAATGTGTCACACTAACATAGCTATTGCTTGAACCATATCGGTCTACACCGTACAGTCTCTATAATCTTTGCTACTTACCTAATAATGTTCCCAAATCCGGGTAGAGGATCAATACAAAACCCAAACAAGGACCAAAAATATAAAGCAATCAAATCAAACAATAAAAGCACTTAAAGGTGATCTAGTCTCTCAAGTAACCCCACTTTTAAGCATATACTCGACATAGTCGCCAATTCTATAATACAGTGAGAGAACTGACTTGGGTGTTTTGCATTTTATTGCAATTATTGCGGATAGCAAGAGTCGCCACCGACTTTTCTTTTATCCAATAAAGGAAAGGGTGAAAAGAACAAGAAAGACCTTTTCAGAATTTTCTTGAGTTCGGGGGGGTAGGTTATGAAAAGGGAAGGTGTTAGCACCCTTTTCATTCGTTGTTATCTACGGGGTCTTAGTTGCTAGTTCACTTTGAAATTATTTGTTTGAAATGTGTTTTGTGATGTTTTTGAAAGTATTTTTGAAAAGTGCCTTCGTTTAGGTGAACTTTGTAATGATTCTCGTCTCTATAAGAATGTATACAAAGTGTTGACTTTTGAAAATATTTCATTTGAAAGTGTTGGTGTGTTTGAAAGGTGTTTTGAAAATGGTTATCAACAAGAAACTATGAACGTTCTTCCTACTCAAAAAGTCTTAATTTTTTTCCTCCTCCTTTAGATATTGCTATCTTACCATTGATTGATAAGAAGCCCTATCATTAGATGTGAAGGGACATGCATGCGTCATCGTACAGTCATAGAAAGCAACGTTGTAGGATACCCTAGCAATTTGTCATAAGGGTCTAAGATCGTTTATCGAAGGCAACATTGAAGGGTCATCGAGGGACTACGATCTTGTATTTGATTGTCTTTGCTAAAGTATCCCACGTTCGAGGTACATGATTGTTTTATCTTTAGGCAACAAGTGAGGTTAGACCTAGAGGTGCAGGTGTGCAAAGTGTTTGATTTTCATGCTCTTTTGTCTTTGAATTAGGGTTTTATACTTGTTGATTTTATGTCTTGTCATACAAACCCTAATTACTAGCATTTATATTTAAAGCGATAAATTACGAAAATGTAAAATTTTACGCTATTACATCATTTTGGGATGGGGTACAAAATTACAAATGGGGGAGCAAGAAAATAAAAACCTAATTTACTATTACAACCATATTGAACTTGAATAAATAATCTACAAGAATGTGAGATAATGTACAAGGAGAGAAGAAATTATTTTACTTAAGTTTTTGTTATGAAAAGGTTTTTAACCTAAATAATCTAAGAAGAAAATTAATTAATTTGATTTAAGAAAACTAAACCTAATTTAATTAAGAAAAGAAACTGAATTTGATTAAAAAGACAAGTTTTTTAGGGTTTTATGAAAAGGTTTTAATCTTAATTAAACTAGTATGAAAAATTAATTAATTAATTAAAAGTCCTAAATTCTAAATTAATTTTAAGCAAAAAAGTAAATAAAACTAAGTCTAATATTAATTTATTTAAGAAAAATAATTTGTTAAAGAAGTATTTTTGGTCTTTTTAAAAGAAATAAAAATAAAAGTATATTAATATATATAAAATATTTTTTGGGGTTTTTATTAATAAAAATAAATAATAATAATAATAATCATAATAATAATAATAATAATAATAATAATAATAATAATAATAATAATAATAATAATAATAATAATAATAATAATAATAATAATAAAATAAAATAGAAAAATAATATTAAATGTCAGGGGGGTCTGAAATTGAATTTGGGAGTTTAGAAGTAAAAATAATTTTGTTTTGGGGCCCAATGTGATTTTTGTTTAGAATAAGAAAAATGAAAATAAAACAATGGGTTGTGTTGTAGCTAGTAGATATAAGGGTGATGATCATAAAAAAAGGGACTAAACCCAAAGACTTAGGGCCCAACGCGCTTGTTTGTAACAAAAAAGAAGAAAATAATGAAAAAGTTGGGAAAAGGGGCAGCCCTGGAGTTCGAACACAAGCCCTTGGCAATAACGCGCGCGCTCTCTACTACTGGAGTGGCTATACATCCGTTTATTAAAATGAAACCAATATATTATATTTTAAATCAAGTCCTAGGCCTACATCTTCTTCTTCCTCGCGCCAGGACACCAACCTCCATTTTTGAATCCTGTAACTTTCTCATTTCTCAACAAAAATCAAAACTGTAAACATTAAAGTAGCTCCATTTTTTATCACGGTTCCAGAAATGTAAATAACTAAGACTATAAATCAAAGGTGGGTATGAATTTTGAATGGTACCAAATCTAACCTAATTTTTTTCCAGAAAGTTCAAACTTAAAATTCTCACTACTCAAGATATATAAATGAATTCTAAGGACATGGTCAACTTCATGGAAATGATGTCTACATTCTATCTTTGAAAATGGAAAGCTAACAATGCCTATATGAAGAGATTGAAAATCAGAAAAATTACCTCAAAACTGGAAATCTGTTTTGATTTAGATCTCACTTCAAGGTGTTTTAATGATCTGGTTAGCTTCCTTGAACCTTTAGGAAGCTATTCCAATAGTTACTTTGAGCTGAGAGTGCTTGAACTATTCTAGAGAAGTCCAAGTGCAGACATTTGTTTTTGAAAATGGAAGAGAGTGATGGAGGTGTTACATAAGTGTAACAGGTATTGGGATGACTTATACATAAGGTGAGGAAGCTTTTGAAATGGTTTGGCCAAGAAACGCACGAGTGGATTTGAAGATGGAAGTTTTTGACCAGATTCTGCACAACAATGGTAGTTTGTATGTAATCTGAGTTTGTGATAGTTTTGGGATTCTTGAGGGCCTGTATCTTCATGTCTTAGCACACAAATAGTGTCTCTATTTATAAGCAAGATGTTTGGAGTGCTCAAGTTGATCAGATTTCAAATTCACATGTTTAAGCTCAACATGTGATTTTTTGACAAAATAAGTTTCAATGCTTTGTACTTCATGATCAAGAGTTGTTAATCACTTTAAACATAATGCTTCTAACTTTGTGGATGGAGAGTAATCATAGAAAACAAGTTAGGAGATCAATGCATTGACTTTGTGCATAAAGCTTGCTTTACTAGAATGAAAATTGTAGCTTTCTCCCTAAAATGGCAAATTGGTTTGGATAATGCTTGAATCACTTTGATAAGGGCTCAATAAATTATGTAAACCATTAATTATATAGTGAAACACAAGTCTGAAACCTGAAAAGCAAAGATTATGCAGCATGGCTATGGATTTGGTTATGTGTTCATTACAAAATTGCCTTGTAATTCAAACTTGAAACCCTAACTTCATCTCTTTGATTCTCTTAGCTCAAGAATGATCTAAATGAGTTCTTGTACATTTTGGAAAGCTTGTAACATTCCCTACAACGTTAATGTTTTTCATTTTTGAAGAATCCAATTGGAACTATGTGAAAAGTTGTCATGAATTTGGTACCAAAAATCTGCCTAACTAGGTCAAATTTTCACTAAGTGTTTTTATCAAAAGTGCATGACTTTATGAACTCATAACTCAAAATCCAAACATTTATAGAAAATGTTCTGACCTACAATGTTTTATATATCATTGATATCTACAACTTTCATGTTGGAAGTTTTTCTTGAATCATCTTGCATCTTGGTGAGAATTTGGCATGAAGTTATCAAATAATCATGTATAAAACACTTAGAAAAATTTCTTAGTCTTAAAAACTTTGACTTTTCAAATTGACTTTTGACTTTATTGATTTCTTGATGATTAAGTTTCATGTTTTTCAATGTCTTGATCAAATCTGATCTTTGAAACGTAAATTTGATCAAAAAGTCAAAGTTTGACTTTTGGTGTATCAGTTGACTTTTCATCAATTGGCTGAATTTCAACTATCAATCAATTGATCTTAAGAAATTTTTTGAGCCATGAAATTAGGTCAACATGTTGTATTTTAATCCTTGAGATTGTGCTTCAAGCCATTAGATCATGTATTAGGTCAAAAACTCTTGATTAGTCAAATATAGTCAAAACCCTAACTTTGACCATTTTGCCATTTTGGTGATTTGAACAATTTTCTTGGGGAATTATGATCCAAACTTGACCAATTGGTACATCAAAATGTTTATATTGGTCCAAAATTTTGAATTTTGACTGTAGTTTAACCATAATTGACTTTTTACCCAATACAGCTGATTTTAGGTCATCTGATCAATTGACTGAGCAATTTTGTGATCCAAGACTTGAAACTTGATATGAGCAATCTTGAGGGCCCATAATTATACATGAAAGTCATTTGAATGATTTGGAGTCCAATTGTCCTTGTGAAAACTCAAACCCTAATTTGAGGTATTAGTGTGGAGGAGATGGCTTCACCTAGTCAATACTTGTGCAAGCTTGAAGTTTTGAAGATCTTTATGAGAAATGTCTTGAGAAAATAAAAAGGGAAAATTTTGGGGTAAAAAAATCTCACTCTCCAATTATATATCTTCAACCCCAATTTTCTGCAAGCATGGTTGGTATGCGTTAAGGAATGAATAATTGTCACAAGGAAAACAAAAATGTGAGAAAAGTAAAGAAGTTATCCAAAGGAGATAATGAAATCATCAATGTCCATGGAGTCAAGATTAAATGTATTGTGATCGAAGGAAGGACCAATGGTCGAGCTAGAGGTCCTTCCCTCATCGAACTCCCCAGGAGTTTAAGAAGAAGAAATTCAAGAAACTAAGTGATCATGTTCCTCTCATAATGGTTGATCTAACATGGAAAGATTTAGAAATTGTTACGAAGGCACCCAAAAGCACCAAAAAGTCCACTAACATTCAAGAAAATGACCCAACCAAACCATCAAATGATGTTTTAGAAGTTATACCACTTTATATGGTTTTCCCTAACTAAGAGAAAGGTAAGTCTTCTAAATCTACTAAGCTATATAAATCTGTTGGGTCGTCTAATGTGTCCATCCCTAAGAAAGTGCCAGTAGTCATCTTTCCTAGTACAAAAAACTAAGGATGTTGTGCTTGATGGATCAGACAATATTAGTCAAAATATAGAAAACCTTAATGCATGTGATAATACAACAGTGAAAACAACATTGATAAGATCCTAGAAAAATGCTTTAAAAAGCTTTTAATGTTCCACATGTTAAGATTGACCCAAGTTCCAATTGTAAAGACGTTATTCTTGATGTTGAAAAAATCTTGACTAAAACTGTGATTCAAGAATAGGAAACTAGTGAGGAAGAAATTGAAGCTAAATAGGATGATGGAACTAATGTCATTAAGGAAGTCAAGAACAATGCATATGACCTTCCATAGGCTGAAGAAAATGTTTTTGAGGAGAATGCGTCTGGGGAAAATGTTGAAGAGGGTGAAGAAAATGCTTATGGAGAAAGTGATAAGTATGGTGAGGAAATCGACAAGGGTGTTGAAGAAGACAACCAAGTGGATGTTGAAACTGGAATAAATAAAGAAAGCATAAGTAAAGGTGTAATAGTAGAAGGAAATGACAATATAAGTGTCACTATGGAAGTTGATATAACTACTAGTAAGGATGTTCTAGAAAATGCAAACAACAATTTGGAGAACATGTGGAAGGATACGGCTCCAAATTAGAAGAATATAGAGAAAGATGTCTCTGCCATCAATGAAAGTCTTGAAAGTTCTAGATAATATGTGTCATATGAAGTTTAGAATGATGTGATACCATATATAAATTAAAATATCACTAACAACATTGACGATACAATTCTTGTTACTATTGAAGCTAAAACCTTAACTAGGGCTCCAAAAAGGTCCAAAAGGACATTTGGGAAGAAAATATCCATTTTAAAGCCAAATAAAACTACCAATAATAATTATGTCACTCCAAGTATGAAAATATAATTTAAAAGAAAATGGCGATGTCTTAATGAAAAAGAAGTCAATTGGAAAGGGAAAGAAAAATGTTGCTAAGAAGTGTGCCACCAAGAAGAGTTGTAGAGGATGTCACTGACAATCCTGATGACATTTTGGTCATCTTTGCTTAAAATAAAGTTTGTTGAAGGAAAGAAACAACCAAATAATGTTGTTGTGTTGCCCTTAGACAACGTCTCCTTCCACTCAGTCAATAGTGTCCTAAAGTGGAAGTATGTCTTCTAGAGGCGCATTGCATTAGAAAGAGAGATATCAAAAGAAGCATTAAAATGTTAAAAAACTATTAAGTTATTGGATGATACACAATTCATAAAGAATGTGGTTGATATTAGTCTATTTTACTCTAGGATTGTGAAGGAATTCATTGTAAAACTGCCAAAGAATTTCAATGATGCAGGAAGTGCGAATTTTAGAAAAGTCCATCCACATGGAGACTATTTTGGATTTTATTCAACCATTATAAATGAGTATTTAGGCATAGGAAGACTAATAACTACTGACCATGTTCTCTCTATAAAGACAATAATTGAGGAAATCACTAGGAATATTCATTATGATTGGTCCACCAATGGTCTTCTCACTGCATCAAAGTTGAGGGTGAAGTACACCATTCTCTAAAAAATATGGGTTGCAAACTGGGCACCTAAAACCATAGATCTAGTATAACTTCAAGTCTTTATAGTTTACTTTATCAACTAGGAACTAGAGTGTTGTACCCTAAAATTTTCCCTCTCATGTTTTTCCAAGATTTTCTCTTGCATGGGTGGTTACAAACATTTTCCTAAAGAAAAGGAAATTTTTTGAATGATGGTTAAGTATCCTTTGATTGGCATCTACAAAGTGCCCTTCAATTGGCATCTAAAAAAGGTCTTTCGATTGGCATGCCAAAGGGTCTTTCGATGGGCCTCTTAAACAAGGCAACTTTGATGGACATTTTAAGTAAAGTTGTCTTTCGTTAGGTCATACAAAGTGTCTTTCGACATGCATATCAACCAAGTGATGCTTTAACGGCTTATCAACAGGTTGACATTTCAATTGTCCAAGTTAGATAAAGTGAGATCGAAAAGAGCAAGAAATTAGAGGTTTCCAGAAGCTCTGATGATGGGTCATTCAAATTCATGCAGATTGGAGACAAAATCGAAGGAGCTCTGATAAGGACAACTCTGAGCCTTTCGAATTCCTATAGACCATGGTTCAAACGAAGAAACTCTGATGCTGAGAATATGAACAATTCGAATCAGGACGCAGAGACATCAAAGAGAGCAAAACAACACTTTGACCAGTCAATAAGATGATGCTTCGAGTGGTCAAGTTCAAATCCATCGAAGGGAGCAAAGCTTGAGAATTAATCGAAGGAGCCATGATAACGAAGTTGGTGCAATTCGAATTTAGAGCCTTTGAAGGAAATAAATGTTCTGATGAGAGGGAAGTTCTGGGCAATTCGAATCAGGACTTAGAATCATTACAAGAACAAGGGTTGATCGAAGGGGCTCTGAAGAGGGAAACTCTGAATATTCTAAAATTCGAACAAGGCACAAATTGACCTGTCCAGGTTCACTCAGGATTCCAAAATGGCATGATATATCTCAAAACGGAAATATTTCAATTTGTCTGATTCTGTTTTCAAAGCCCTGTTAATGTCTGATTCTGCAAGTGTCTCCATGCCCATGAGTGTCAAATCGAAGTATCTAACAACTGCAGTCCACACAAGTTCAATTTTCCAGCAAGGTAAGTCCCCTTGACCTTGTACCTTTCGTTTCAGCATGACATGTAAATAACATCTATTCACCTTTTATTTCTGTCCTTTTTGATTGCATGTTTTTCTTGTATAAATATACATGTTAGAACTAACCCTTGTACAAACTCAAACAAACAAAAAAGGACTAGTGTGAAACAAAGCCTTAGGCTTCACCCCTCATCGCCTGACTGCCCCAAACGAAAGAAGCACCTTCATGATTGTTTTGCAGGTCCACGTCCCTTCACGCTCCAAACGAACTAGGCAGAAATAAGTCCAAACGAAGGATCCTCATACTGCTTCCTAGCACGATCGAAGGAGGCCAGGAGAGTCCAATCGAAGGCTGCTCACGCCAGCTTCCCAGTCCAATCGAAGGAGGCCAAATAAGGGGTGAATCGAAAGCACATCTTTCCCCTTGAATCGGAAGACTCACTTCCCCTTTTCTCTTTTGCATGCCTAAGCCCATTTGGCATTTTTCGTTTTGTATTATTTCTTATATTTCTTTTTATTATTGTTTTCTGTTATTTAATTAACCAAATATAAAAGAAAAATCTCACTAAAAAATTAGGTTTAAATTTCTTAATTAAAAAATTAAGTGCTTTAGTTAATTAATTAATTGAATCTTTAGCCTTTTTCTTAATTAAAAATGAATTAGAATTTAGGACTAATTATTTTATTTTCATAACAAAAAAAAAAGAAATTAGTTTATTTTTCTTAATTTAATTTTATTATATAGACTTTAGGATAATTGACTATTTTTCTTAAATAAAAAAAACAACAAAAAAGGAATTTTCTTATTAGTCTTTCTTTTTTTTTTAACGAATTTTCAGTCTTTCGCGCGTTTTTTATTTTTCACATTTTTACATTATTGTATCTGCTGACAGTATGTAATAGATTAAATTAGGATTTTTACCGATTTCCTTATTTTTTTTCTTCTCCCAAGTTTTATACATTGTAAATATCCCTCTCCCCAAAGCCATGTAATAACGTAAAGTTTATTTTTCGCACTTTACATTTTCTTATATATATTAACTGCTAGTAATTGGGCGTGTATGAAAAGACTAAAATCAAAATGTTAGCAAACTTAACAAAAAGACAAAAATAACTTAATCTCAATACACTTGCACATGCTCACCCCTAGGGTATCTCCCACTTCGGTTGCCTTTGGAATAACAATCATGTCCCTCAAAACAGGGACACTTTAGCAAAGACCCGTAAATCAAAAAGATCATAGTCCCTCAATGACCCTACAGTTGCCTTTCGGTAAATGATCTAGTCCCTAAACAAAATTGTTAAAGTGTCTCTACATGTTGCCTTTATGACTACAAACGTCACTTCGACTGTCCCTCAAACATCCAATGATGGGGCTACCTACTCACTAATAGTAGGATAGCACTGTCTAAAGTAAAAGAGGAAAAGAATAAACCTTTTCGAGTATAAAAGTAGATAGTTGTTAGAAGTTTGCTCAAAAAACATTTTGCACTTACACAAATACTACTTTTCAAAAACAATTTTCAAAACATCTGCTTTGTTAACACTATTGAGGACTGATACAAGAGTTAAACGCAAAGAAAATCGCCGCACTAAGGCATTTTCAAACACACAAAGAATAAAGGTATTTTAAAATGAGCAAACCTCTAAGAGCCTATAGAAAACTATGGATGGAAAGGGTGCTAACACCTTCCCTTTCCATAATCTACCCCCCTTACTCAGAAAAATCTCGAAAAAGGTCTTTTTCTGTTCTTTTCACCCTTTCCTTAATTTGGATAAAAGAAAAGTCAGTGGTGACTCTTTCTTACCACAACATTTGCGAATACCAAATGCAAAACCAGTATGAAACAGTCGGTTCTGCCACCGTATTACAGAACTGGCGACTCTGCTGGGGAAAAAAAGTGGGGTTTACCTTAGGGTGTAGTTCATTTTAAAATTGCTTTCTTTGTTTTCTTTGATTGCTTTATCTTTGAGGGTTTGTTGGGGGTATTCTTGTAAATATCCTATACCCGGATCTGGGGAACATTTTAGGTAAGTAGCAATAAATCATGGAGGTTGTACGGTGTAGACCGATACGGACGAAGTGGTGGCTACATTAGCGTGATACTTTGGATTTTACTAATGTTCCTTGAGTAAGTAAAGGATAACATTAGGCTTCCTCATAGTGTCACTAAGTGCTAACTGACCTTTAGAACCTTTAATTGACTCATCCTATCCATTAGGAAGTAGTGAGATAAACAGCTTTGGTTCCGACCGAAGATTGGTTGATACTCGATGCTACACTCATTGAGACTGGACTTTCATGATTTTTTAGCCGCAATACTTTGGGGCGTGAGCTGAAACAATTCATAATGGGAAGGTTAATGATATTGAAACTCCTTAGAACTCGGTTACTATTAATAGGACAGGTTGAGCTAACTGAAACTTCAAGAGGGTACTTACCTACAAACCCCATGCAAGCCTAAACCTAAGGCTGCTTGTGTGACTTGTTTACCTTCATTATCTAACAACTTGAACTCATTGCAGGGCTTTTGTTTGTATTCCTTGTAGGACCTTGTTTGTATGCATTATCCAATAAACTAATTTTGTTGCAAGACATACTTATCTTCATCACCTTACACTTTTACTTAATGCATAGAATACACATCTTAACATCATCCCATAGCATCTCCTTAACCATTTCAAGGATCTCAAGGGTCTGTGGTGCAGGTTATGATGAACCAGACTTCTAGCAAGGGGCAAGGGGATTTATTTTCCTCTAGCCAACATCGTCAAAAGACCAAAGCAACAACTTGAGTCAGAGGCTATGACCCACTTGACATGGTGAACTTGATTCTCGTAGAAGGACGTTTAACAATACAAAGTTATTCAATCAAAGATGCAAGTTTCAACTTCTGACATCTTCTTGTTTACCCCGTGAGTCCTTGAAAATATTGCATACGCATATCATACATGTCATTGCATAAACATATTT